AAACCGAAGATTTTATGAAGCAGTTACATCACATAGTCTAGATGTCTTTTTTACTTTATTTCCTGCAACGGAATATATGGACTACTATCTGGCATTGCGCGAGGCGAAATTAATTTAAATTTTATTTTTAGTGAAATTAATGCGCACGAAATTTCGTTAGGTTTGTTTTAAGTTCCGGACAGTCGTAATTATGTGGCATTGCCGCAAAGTAAAGTAAAACGAATATTCACTCTCACACAAGAGAAACCTAAAAGAAGTCGAACGTCTGTCTCTTCCTTCCCGCCGTTTCCGCACCGTTACCCGTTCGTGCTGCCAACTGACACGGAATACAGACGAGGTTAACAAGGTTGTCAGAATATCGTTCGGAATGCTGCAAATAGAAAAGTGAAAATGCAGAGTTGTATTGCGGATCGCACTGTAATAAACGAATTCGTACGTTAATATTAAAAGTTTTCTATAACACTACGAATTATTGAGACAACGCTACTGCATTTCTCATTATCGTTTGAGCATTCGTCCACTTCGTTAGTCTTTTGTAGGGCAAGTTGAAAGGGTTTAACGATGTCGTTGTCGCAACGATGGAGAGAATGAAAGTAGTAGTCTATAAGAAGCCCGACGCTTTATTAAAGCCATAATATTAAAGAGGCCGAGAGGCTGGTTGGCTTTTTATACGTGCCTATACTCTGCGAATATAACGGCGGGTCTCAGAACACATTTGGAACACACCGAAACTGTACGTTTGTTGTGTTATATAAAAATATGGCCACATTATTATATACGGGCATATATTTTACTATTATACGGACACATAAATTTACAGAGAAAAATTATTCTCTCTCGTGTTACAAAAAATGTGATCATTATTTATGTAACGTAAGTATTAAATATCAAAGTGTGCGATGTGTGGCACGTGCTGGTAATACTTTTCAAAATTTATCTCACTGAATGCTGATATTCATTAATATATGAAAATATTAAAATTACGCACCACGAGAAATAATTATGCCAAGTAAATATACGTCTTAATTTTTTCATTATTCTATCAAAATGCAATATCTTGCGGTTTTTGCACTGCAATTCTAAACTCGTTTACTTCGGTCCACAGACAGTTAACTGTAAATGAAAAGCACTTTCAGCCAGCTCCGCTGTTACCTACGCGTACGCTTTGCAGGCATGTTTACTGTAGTTGACTCGTTGTTACGGCGTAAGGTAATCACGCTACCGTGTACGTTTTAAACGAGATGCGCTCTCTCTCTCTCTCTCTCTTCCTCCCCCTTTTCCCTCTCGGATAACGTTATACTTCACGGTGATGTTCCCGTATGCGAGAGGGGTTTCGTCCGCGCTTAGGCTGCAGCATGAAAGCCGGATGACCGAGCTGTCGTTTCGTGGTTACGATGTCGTCGCCGTATCGGCGTATACTACAAGCGAAAGGGACCGGAAGCTCCGGTCCGTGTCGGTTTCGCGGGTGCGATGAATTTTGCGTGCGCGGAAAGGGACGGACGGCTATATTGAGGATGGGTTTACCCGCAGAGCTCGGTTTCAGGCCAAATTAAACATGAAGCTGCGCGATCGTTCCGGCTCGTGGAGTGTTTCCTTCGCAGGCGATTCAGCGCTACGAATTGAGTCGAGCATACGTCTTTCCTTGTAGCGTTATGTGCGGTGCTTGAGCGTTTAATTTTATATCACAGTTAGAACGAATATGTACTGTAAAGTCCGGAAATATTAATATCGACCAACGACTACATCTTCATCTGCCTAATACAATTTCGAGCGGTATGCGATTTAATGAGTGTTATGTAACATGTACGAACGCGGATTATATTAATCGCGCGGAACAATGGGATGTAATATTAAAATAATGATTTGATTTCCTTTCTTGATTCATCCCGCGGAATATTCGCGAATTGACTAATTAAAGCAGTTGTACGTTTTGTCACAGAATTATCTTTCGCCAATGCATGATTAATTGTGACATTAATCCATACACAGAGCTCATATATTACTCACACGAGAAATTTAACATGTGTTGGATAGCGTTGGGCGTCATCGTTGATATGCATCGTTGATATGCATCACTACTTTTCTCTCCCCTTGCTATATTGTCTGCGGTTCACCGCGTTGAATGATGATATTAATTTGTGGGAATATTGATATTACAGAAGCAGAGAAGTATTTGATTTGTTGTTATATGTGCAAAAGTGGTACTAAATATAACATGGCAATAATAAATATTTGTATCTTAGACTTACTTTTCTATGAGTCTTACTTTTTAAGACAATCTTATTATTAATGCGAGATACTTTTAACTTTTAAATTATAAATAATACTAAATATATATATATATATATATTTCTTTAATAACTTAATAATGGATTTCGTTCTTTTAATGTCTTCGGGAAACAACAAAGAAAAGAGAAATATTATTTAACAGTTTTATAAAGTTTCGCATAAAACTTACCTAGATATTTCGATGCTAATCAGCGAGTTATTAATATCTGAATAATAGTTCGCATCTTCGAAAGTAAAATGGAAGAGATATATTAATACAAGAGAGAGAGAGGGAGAGAGAGAGAGAGAGAGAGAGAGAGAGAGAGAGAGAGAGAGAGAGAGAGAGAGAGAGAGAGAGAGAGAGAGAGAGAGAGAGAGAGAGAGAGAGAGAAAGAATTGAGTAAAAACTTAAAGTAGACTGAGACTCTGAGCTATCTCAAAATAACGAGCGAACTCCTAAGGAAGTGTAGCGCTTCATATAATCAATTAGAACTCCAGAACGAGTGAGATGGTAATGGAGTTCGGCTAAGTACAAACTAGAGCAAACTAACATTGAGTCGAACGAACGCATCAACCTCCACCGGCTCACATCTATCTATGTCGTAAATCTGTTGATCTGTAATTGTATATGCGGAACACATTTACGTAGCAGATCATTTTTGTGCCGTATATATATTTTAAATAAGAATGTGGCAGCATCCCCTTCTTTTAAGAAAAAAAGATGTCAAGAGTCTCCTTTTGCATTTGAATAATAGACTGTCGGAGACATTGATTTGGAATTTATTGAAATAAATGCCTTCTATATCTATATCAATGCGCGATAAACGATTTTATCATTCATTTATCCACTTTTTGCGTGTTTCTCCATCATTTAATGGCACAGTTAGGATAAATAACGTCCGACCGTTTTTTTTTTTTCGAAATTGGCTATTATCCCTCGCCATAAATCTGACATGTGTCGAAGAGGCACGTAGTGGAATCTATCGCAAAGTGGTCATCGTAATCTCTGTTATCTTAAGCAGACCCTTCGGTTATGGTCCCTTATGCTTCTAGCAAAGTCTGCTTCGGACTCGGCTTTCATTCTCCTTGACGTTGACGGAGTATTGTTTCCCCGAGCAAGATTTCCTCCGGGTCCACTTGCTGCAAGAGCATGGATGGAGATATGGCAAAAAAGGACGAGATTGTAATGAAATGTCAACTCAGTGTTTGTCTTCTGCAGCCTTTGTTTGAATGTACGGGTGTTCGATCAATCGTGTGATAGAAAAGAATACAGCACTCTTGGAAGTGTTTTAAATGTTAAATTAATAAAACTTCTTTCTTCGTGTTATCTTTACGCGTATCATCGAAAATGTATCGTGTATTTCGTATGTTTCGTACTCATATCAAATGTGAAAGATGAATGCTAGTTGCTGCTCCTTTTGCTATAATTGAATGATTAATTACATCCCTCGCGCCGCTGAAAGCATATATTTATCAATGTCTCCCGTATCTATAATTATAGTTCTCAATTTAATGATAATATTAGTGTTGGTAATGGTTCTTGTTTCAACACATCTTTGTTTATCAAATGTATCATAATTCATGGCGAAATAAGATATTAGCAATTTGCTTAATAGGTGCTGTAATTCATTTAATTTCTACTATTTCAAATTGATTTAGTTCGATGCTGTATTATTAGATATTATTTTAAACGTCTACATCAAGTCACTCAAATAAAATGATTTTAATATTTACTGAATTGTTAAATTTTAATTGTACGATATCTAAAAATACTAAATTTAATATAAATTTAATATATATAATATTATATTGATGCAATTTAATATTATATTATATTTAGTTTATATCACAGATATATACATTTCTCGATTACGCGTCGACTTAGAAAACGGAATTCTAACATATTCTCTCAGAAAGAATTTTGTGCCGAATATTCGCTGATTTCTCATCATCCTTGCCTTGCACTTTCTGTTCCTCTCGCAGATCGTATCCGTACGATTCCGTGGAATTAATTCGTTAAGAGGTTGGGAGGTTGGGAGGTTGGCCGTTCCACCGTGATAGACGGGGTTCGTAAATTTTAGAGGTACACCTGGTACTTTGGCCCAGTAGGGCGGAAGGAAGGAAGGAAGGAAGAGAGATGAGTACGACGGGTAAATCCAGCTTCCGGTAGCAGGTCGGCTCCCCTGGCCGGAGCTGATCCTTGGGAATCTCGGTTATTCACTCGCGCTGGGCTGTCGATAACTTGGACAATCTTAACCCCGCCTACTTTTCTTTCTCTTTCGCGCTTTTGTGTACTCGCGCATCTCGTCCGTCATTTCGTTTGCCACGACGAAGATCGTTGGTTTGGCTTTCTCACACATCTCCCGGATCAGCCTTCTCGTTTTACACCGCTAAATCCAATATCACGCTGTCGTTTCGTATTTTCCGAGAGGGATCTAGGCGCAGTCTTCACTTCTATTGCGCTTCTACTTCTCCCCTTTTCGCCCTAAGATAAGAGCGACTTGGGCGAAGAGTTGCTTTCATATAACCGCCACTTGTTGAGTGAATAAAATTTCTGAGACCAAGCGTTGAAGCACGCACTCGAGTTTTTAACCAGCGCAATATACAGATATACATATCTACACGCGTCAAAAATAAAAGTGCTCATATCTAGCGGTATGTAACTGCAGCAACGCTGCTGACGCTGTAACATACTATACTGTTATTATATTTCATATCGTTTTATGTTACAGGTAACTGGCATCGTAGGTAGAGCGGACGTTCTAGCGTGCATCTTCTTTTTGCTGTCCTTTCTTGCCTACCACGGGTGAGTATAGTTTAATCACTTAAACTTTTGCTCTTGCTACAGTTGTGCGCGCGCGCGCGCGCGTGTGTGTGTGTGTGCGTGTGTATGTGCGTGTGTATGTGACTTTCAGGTTAATTTATTTTAAGATTAAAACAAACACAAATATTTTGTGTTAAATTTTCGTCTACACATTTTTTAATTGAAAATATTATACCCAAGTTTAAACTTTTAAAATTACATTAAATGGAATTTGGTTAATTATGCCGAGAAAAAAATTCCGCGCTTGCCCTACTTTATGCACATGTATTATCTAATGAGTTACGAAGTACGTCGTTCATGTAGAATACCCTTCCTGTAAACTGGGGGAACTTTGGGGTGGCGCGTACGTCAAGAATGTCGCAACGACGCCAGTCTGACGCCAAAATAGCGCCCCATTCGTTCTCATGAACATACAGCTTGAAAATTATAAACTAAACTAATTTACTTTACGAACTGCTGTAACTATACCGGCGTCGTAAATGCGCCTCCAGACCAGACTCACATCGATCTTCAACGTTACAACTAAGAAGAATGATCTCGCACGCACAAAACAATTGTGCTTCTGCGACATTATTCTCGCAGCATTCATTTTGCAGTTACGTACTTTGCTATTTCTGGAATAAGTTTAATTAATTGTAGAAAAGCTCGGCGGTACACAAAATAAATTTCTGTAGCGCACTGCGCGAAAAGATTCGATATGAAGAAAAATCTGTAGAGACGAGAGTTCGGTTGTGAGAGTGTAAAAAGCTTCCGTGGAGGTCGTACTCCGACATAAAAGGACGGTTGCGGAAGACAAGAAGGTAAAACCCTGTCTGTAGGACTAACGTCGGGCGGCCAATGGCTGGAGGGAGGGTAAGATGCTTGTCTTCGAACCTGAGAAATTGATTACTCTTGGCTGCCTTTGAGTACTCTTTCTCTCTCGTTTCCCTTCACTTTTATTTCATCGCCCCGCTCTATGCTTATCTTCTTCTTTTTTTTTTAACTAGTGTCTCTTAGATTCTCTGCCTTCATTCAGTTTCTCGACCATTTACACTTCGCGCTCAAATCCCTCGGCGATTAAGCGACCGATGATTAATTCCAATTATACATTTGGCTTACCGTCAAGATTCTCTCGTCGTTCTCTCGACTCCCGACCGCTTTGCTTTTGCAGAGTGGGTGTATTCTCACTCGTTCTCCGTCATTGCGCAGCAAGTTACTATTAATCTTACTTAGGAAGCTTTGATGTAAATTGTAAGAAACACTTCCATTTTCTCGCGGTACTTTTTACCCATTTTTATGAGCGAGTCGCCGAGAAGCTACGGTCTTGTCTTCGCGGACCAGTTTCTCGCCGGTTTCGTTGTTCCTAAAATCCTGAACGACGTCTTGTAACAGATCTGTCACTCGACGTAGATTGATGTACACGCCAACCGACGTAAACGAATAAATCCTATATGTCTTTGGATCAATTTTGTTGCGAGAATTGTTTCCCAATACTGCGATGTTTCTATCTGAAGAGAGAAAAATTTATTGGAAATATATCTGTAATGTATCTGTACAAATAAATTTTTTATTATTACACGAAGGATTTTCTATCAAATTTTAGATTATTCTATTTGTAATAATTCTTTATGTCTACTTTTTATAATGAAATTTTATGTGGAAATATTTTAAATACATGTACATAAATTTTTTTATCGTGCAAACCGCGCAATATATTGTATTTTTGTCTAATATTAAAAAAGATTACAAGACATTGCAATCGACACAACTATGAACATTCTCATGTTTAAGTTATGTTAATTTCTAAATTATTTAAGTATTTTATATTTTATAATATTATACATATAAGAAGTTTATAACTAAATCCATGTTTCTAAAGATATTAAAAAATGAGAATAGTTATCGACTTGTGTCGACTTGTTCTACAGTTATGTAATAAATAAAATTCAATTTATGATTGTATTGCGTTTTGATTTAATGTTTGAATTTTTTTTCTTGCAGCCAGCAGACGGCTTACGTATGGTCCAGCGTTTGTCTGGGTGCTCTGTCGATGTTAGCGAAGGAAACTGGCGTTACTGTTCTGGCACTAAACCTTCTTTACGATCTCTGTCGTTCCTGGCATTCAATCAAGAGGTAAGTGTTTAAGCGCTCGGAATTGGAGCGTGATGTGCCCTTCAGCGCGGAAGTATAAGATTTGAAGTTGTGAGAGAAACTTTAAATTGATATGGTTCTCGTGATCTCTTAGATGCGTTAGAGTGTGAATCTGTATTAACTTCAGATATACTGCGCTTGAAAAATTACTTACGTTCTTAAAGAAAACACTTCGCAAAACACAAGAATTAATCGCTGCACGCCGCAGATTACGTGACTGCACGTACATCGATAATGAAATCGCTATAAGTTCTATGTCGCATGTTTTAAAGCGGTAAATGCGCTTCTCGTGACTGTGGAAAATGCGGCCAAAATATTTTGCCGTTCGAGTTCCATGTCGGAACGTAGACCCCTTTTAAATAGTGTCATCGATCTTACAGTAATACCGTATTGGCTATTCGGTTCATTTTTTATATTCGTACCGACAGAAGTATTTTATAATTTTACAATGTAAGACAAGCTACTGCATTGCCTCTATTATTAATATTCCAGGTCTATTTTCGAAGCCAAATGGAACGACGATTCTAGATATTTTTCAAGACGTGCTGCAGCATTACTCGTTTCGGTAAGTTAAAAATTAATTGTACTTATCTATGTTCAGTTTGTAACAACGGAAACATCAATTATGATTTTATTATTTTACACCGATTTCAATTTACAATCAGTAACGCCAATAGTATTGACTCGAATACAAATCTTGTGTCTGAAAACGAATTCGACGACAAGTTCAATGCTAATAAATCAACTGCACTTTAATATCGACTGTTGAAGGCAATCATTGATATTCCCAAAGGATCGAGGGGGAAACATTGACTCTATAAACGTGAAGTATAGATGAATGGGTAATGGTCAAAGAGGACTGAAATCCTCTTAACGCACCGTGTGTACATTCGGTCGTGCGTGGAAGCCCCACAGGATTTTCAGGCGAGTGGTGGGCGCGATCGGCTTTGTTATTATTATATTAACGACAATGTCTGCGCCTCCGGTATCCGGGGAATACCAGAATTGTAGGGACATCCATGACTATATTTATCCATTTAGACTCGCGCGCCCTCGACTTATCACGTAACTGGATTAATGGAAAAACCAAACGCGAGTAAGCCTCGGCGGCAATTGAATCGTATTGTGTCGCATAATATTGACTTATTCTTGATTGCTTTATTCACAAAGTTTATCGCGTTGAACATATGAGGCGAAAGAGAAGAATCCTGATGAAGTTAACGCGGGCTGTTTGCAAGTGTGTACCCCGCGCACTGCTATAGTCACGTGGTGCTCAGTATTACTCCTAAAGGGATTACTTACGTGCTAAGAAAACACGATCGTCGCTCTTCTATAATCCGCGGAATTAGCGTGGGTCCCTTCCCTATTTCGTGTCCGCATCGTTAATTCTTAACGACCGATATCTTTCGTTTTTATCGCTCTACTGTAGTGAGACACCGATGTTTACAGCAGCTCGTGCCTTAAGCAAATTTAACGATCGTTACCATAGATACACTCGACGCGGAGAATTTCCCTTTACGGTCGTGGAAAATAAATAACGTTCCCCCGAATTGCTATGCAGCAAGACAAACTGTGCAGCGAGCGAAGCGTGGGATGAAATAGCGGCAGTTTCAAAAGATCAACAGAATGATATATGATTCATATAAATGGGTATTGCATAACGCTGCGCAATCGAAAATGTGGAATGTGTGTAGGTTTGCCATTGACATTCGTGATTATAATCAGCTTTCTCGTAATTAATTTTGTTAATGACAACGATAATTACGTGATCTATTTATCTTCCCATAGGATTCATCACACGCTATTAAACGCTGTTTGCCATACGGTTTGTTAAACGTTAAGCTTTAATTTCTTTTAAATACCTCGAAAAAAGCGGAAAATTTGAGGTGTTTAATTTCAATTAAATATCCCTCGAAAGTTTGATTTTCAAACAAAATTAAAAATTTTTGAATAATAATGCTTTTAAAACGCCTCCCTTTTTTCGCAAAATCCACACAAGCGTGAAGCGTCTTGAAATTTCGAAGGGATCTCAAGTGAGGCGGTAAATTCCATCGGTAAAGAATGTGAACTCCGTATTTTCGGCACGGATCCATTGGGGTCACGTTGGTCGATCGCGTATTACGACACCATGGTGTAACCCTTAAGCGGAGTTTACGAGGTGCTATTAAATCCTCGGCTTTACTGTCGTTGATGTTCATACCCAAGAAACGCGGGCTCTTGCGGCGACGGCGCTCATCGTCTTTATTGTCGCGAATTAATTTAGACGGCGTCGTACTAAGCACCTTTACCAGCACGCGAAAGCGTTCGATAAAGATCCGAGGATGATATAGCTTTCTCGGTAATGGTTGTACCATGCGGTCGTTATTAAGCCGGCACTGTACATCCGTTATTAAAAAATATATCTGTCGATTGTTAAATTCAAACAAACGGCAATTCCGCAATCTTGATTCTTCCGTAAAATAAGTTTTAAATTGTGCATTAAAATTTTATAGTGAACAACCAGGCATTCAACTCGGTTGTACAATATCTCTCTCGCACAGCAGGAATCGCTAAGTAACATTGGTGTTTTACTCTTAAGATGTATTGTGCTAAGTCAGGGCAGCGCGACTCATCATGGGCCAATACGGAAATAAAGGTTGCGCATGGAAGGTACTTTAAGCGAACACGGTTCTGAATTATGCTAATTTATGCCGGCGAACGAGGGAGGCGTGCTTGCACACGACCTACCCTCACACAGTTATCTACATATTCCGGATCTCTTTCCACCCCTGTCGTTTCCGCCACCCTGTAGCACTTATACGTTCTCGGGTATGTCGTTTTCGACCATGTTTCTCAGTCTTCATCGTCGCGAGAGGCCATTAATATTCAAGAATAAGTACTACTTCGGATAGCATTAAACGTAATCTGTCAAATTAAGAAACTTTTCTGCTCCAACAAATTAAGATAGAGATATCATTTTTTAATTATAAAATAACAAATTACTTTTGCCTGGAAAAATTATGTTACACTTGTTATACATTTGCATATTTCTAAAATTAGCTTTTAAAAATAAATTGTGCCAAGAAGTTAATTAAAGCCATTAGTGAGTTTATGTTGTTGCGAATAAATTAAAATAATTTTTGAAAAACATTGTAAATAATTTGTAAACAACTAGCTGCGAATGCTTTCGGTAATGGAATTTATTGTGTTACTAAAGTTTCGTTGCCATTGTACCAAGAATTAGACCATGTGTTGAAGGCGCATCAAACTGCTAACATCTGGGGTGACAAACCTAATCAATAGGCCAATCCATTAAGTACATGCGCTGTTTACTGATTGTACTGTGCTTACTGTTGTCCGATTGGCTTAGCGCTTAACTCTCGTTTGTCTTACATTCCCTTAAGATACTGCGATCACAGACAGATTACGATCGAAATTGTTAAAGCAGTGAAAAGAAACGCATTATCGCGATTGCTTTCTTCGGCCATTATCGAATTAGTCAGCAATCAATAATTAATTGAGTGTAAAAGGTGAAAGAATGAATTCACAGAAAGAAATTTTCAAAGAAAAGCAAAAATAGTAATCTGTAAAGCGTACTGTAATCTCCATGGATTCTCGTAACAGCATTTTCTCGTTACATGTCTGGTGATACAAAAAAACTGCGGTCATATATTCATCCATAGTTAAAAGTTTGCAACGTTAAAAAAAAAGCTGCGTCGATATGCGATACGACATTCCGTGCGCATCGGATATTTATCGGAATTGAATTTCCGCTCCGCTCGCTGTATTCCATGAGGTCAACCGGGATCCCATGACGGCGTAACACAATATTCCAAGAGCTTCTCATCGAAGAACAAGGCCGGGGCATCGGTGTCGGGCGCCTCGACAGGATATACAACGAGGCGTTTCAATGACGGCGTACGTATATGCGACGTGTCTGTACGACCGCTTAGGACGGACGTCCTACCCCCGTCTGTCGACTTCGATCCTAAAGGATATGAATACCTCGAATTGGCAGATATTGTCCGACACTCCAAACCCTTCCGGAACCACTCACCGCCCGTGTCTATCCATCGACAAGAATGCGAGCGAGAGAAGCGCCGACATAGGTACAAAGGCGAAGAGACAGTGAGAGGGCCAGCGACGTCCCTTCCAGATAACTCCGGAATAAGGGATAGAGAGTGGTCTATCGGAGGATGGTCGGACGGACGTCTATTGGGTTAGCGAGCTCTGCGAAGGACGTGACGGAAATGTGACGACGGTCCCGCGTCATCCCCTGCGTGAACGTGACGACGTCTCGGCGCGACTACGGAACGAATGCTACGTTTCGTTCTTTGCTATTCAAACACGATGCCTCATGTTACTTAATTAAACCATTTAAGGAAACGTGACGCGACGCGATTGTCGATTAGCGGCATAATTGCGAGACGCATTACCAGTTTTTTTCCACATATTTTACGAATAACGTGTAATTAAAGAGGAAAAAGGATTGTATAATATTATGTGTGAGTCCTACGGATGTAGAGCGTGGAATTTTGCCTGTAATGTCTATTTGTTTTTGCGCCATTAACTTTACTTTGATTTACTCAGTTCCGTATTTCTGCGTGGTTTTTACGCTCCACCATCGCGCAGTGAATCAATGAGCCGCGATTCGAGCGACTGCTTCAAACCAAAGCACATACTTCTCTCCGCTGTTGCTTTGTTCCATCCCATGTTCCTTTTATCTTGTGAAATGGCAGAATATGATGACAATTTTTACGGCACAATTATGACGAGAATGTAAAATATAAGAGTCGCGGATATGAGTAAATGCAATACGAGTGCATTTGAGCTCTTTCGATATGAAAACATGTGTGCCATTCATAAAACACTCGTAACGACAGAGTGTACGTATTCGCGATTTTGATATTCGTGAATCAGCGCTTTGATTTTGCTTGAAAAGCGTAGCAACTGTTTCTCGTACCCTTACATCGTCGTACCGAAAGAGCTATTTTAAAGAGACACTTGATTTGAATGTCGTGTTTGTTATTTATATAGCTGTATATTTAATAACATATCTTATTTTTTACGCTAACATTAACCAGATGAAAAGATGGCAAGTTGTGTAAATTGGGGAAGCTTTTTAAATTATTTAACATTGGTACAAAGGATTTCAATGTTTCCGCTGCGCAAACACTTACAAAGAAAAATGTTGTTTTCTAACGGTATGAAAATTCATTGACCGCTTAATGTTCGCAGTTTGGCATACTTCTTGTGGTACGGCTCGCTTTACTTCATGGTACTTTGCCGAACTTCTCTGCGCAGGATAATCCAGCTGCTTTTCATCCCTGTTTCCACGTCAGGTGAGTATCTGTATAAATCCTTTATGTTACGCGAGTCGCGACGAGGAATCCTATTACAATGTTTCAAAACTCGCAGCGATTGAGAACGACTGGAAACTTTATACCATTGTCCTTCGTTGAGGAGTAACGTATCGTGTATACGTGAGATCAAAGTGTTGGATGACAATGGAAACAAGACGACTTTATCCTTTGATCTGATTCAGCCCGGATTCACCTCTCGCCCGGTGCTTTCAGCAGTTGGAAACATTTAAGCGGCAATGTTATTTTGACTATTTGTTCTCGCGCCTCCGCGAAAGAATGTTTTCTTAGAGCCAATCGGGCTCTATTTACACGATTATTTTCGCGAAACCGATAAAACTTGATGTCGGGATATTCAAACTTATTACGATTCTGCAGTTGCAGAAAGAAAAATATTTTGTGTCTTTACGTAAGATATTTTACAAAAAAGGTGGACGATATTAGAACATCACAGAATCGATCTTCTATTCGCACCAAATACTTGAGTTAAAATGTCTTTTTCCATAGCTGTTCCTAACTGTGTTACGTCCTGAAGTTCGGAAGCGTCAGTCGATTGCCTACCAAAGAGAGATTTTCGATTCGTGCTCGGCTTAAACCGAGAGTCTCGTCCGCCCAACTTTTCCACTCCAATTGCCCGCTTGCAACAGATTCGCGCCGCGTCCTGCTCGCGCCGATTCGTCCGAGACTCGCCGTCAAAAGAATCCGAGCTCGTGCAACTTCTCGGTGCAAACTTGAAAAATCCCTTGGTTGGTTTCATCGAAGACGGGACTGGTGATAACGCCGCGGTGCTCGCAGCACCTTTAATCCACTTGACAGCCTTTTCTTTTACCGCTCTTTGAAAGTTTTCCTTTTGGCAGCGCGATATAGGAGGGAGTTCCGATTCGGCGAACGTCCACGAAAAATTTTCTAATATACGATCCGATTTTACGGCCCGCTGAATATGTCCAGTAAATCCGATTCCGCTATCTTTCGTAGTTCAACGATATCACATAGCCGCCGTATCTATTACACCTCACAAGGAACGGACGTGTTCTGACGTTTCACGTAGATGGAAAATGGAAATGGTCGCGCGATGTGATTCTCTCGACGCGTCGCCGCAGAACTTCCGTTCATGCCGCGACTACGGAATATATTCATTTCATATCGAGTTTTATTCTTATATAAATACAGGACGGAACAATCGGCTCCGCGCGCTCGTGAATAATTATTTCAATCGCAGAGGCATATTTTTCGGAGCAGTTATAAATTTAATACAATTAGTCTTACTGCTCCAGAAAATTAATTAGTTATACCATTTTCATTTTCATGATGAAAGCCGCGTTTCTGTGAATTTTTTTTTTTTTACATGTGGTCGTATAACCCGACCGTGAAATTCCTCTTTTTGACACAACCGCTGGTTAAAGAAACGCTAATTAAATATACGAGGTTTTCTCGTTGCATCGTTTTTTCTCATTGCTGATGTTGAAATAGCGGTAGGAATTCTAGTTGCTGCTTTGAATGAGGGAATGTTTGGTAATTTTAGCATATTGAAATATTGTTTTGCTGTTATCATCGCGCCTCCGTCGTTTCTATTATATGACGTACGTAAGCGTATTAAAGCAGTCTTCTTTTTTTCCCACGCACTATGGCGGTATATATTCATCTTCTCTTCGCCGGTACTTCCCTGTTCACTTCTCTCGCCCGCAGTCAAGTGAACGGTGGAGAAACGGACATCGGAGAAAAAGAGGATATTACGTAAAATACTTTCGGGCTGTCGGCTAGAGAAACCAGGCGGGAATACTTTACGAGATGTATAATTTGGCTGGATATACCGTCGTTTCGCGGAATTTACGATCGTACAAGCCTACACCAGACCAGCCTTTCGGTACACTCGCAGGCGCTCAACGTCCCTCAGGATTTTATCCCACCCTCTGTTATCCCCGGTCCCTTGTCCTCGAAATATCTTTGCCGTCGCATATGCGGCGCACGCGGCAGCACGTGTCCGTAGGTGAAGCTGCAACTCGAGCAAATTTGCCGGCAAGATGTCGTTCGGCCGCACGAGGTTTCCGCTAATATAGTTATATATTCGCGCGGCTCTAGGAGCGCCGGGCGACATATTTGCGATCGCATGCGCCTCGTTCAACCGCTCAGGTGGCTACTCGGCTAGATCCCGCGATGCTGCTGCGATTAATACGGTAATTTAAGTTTAAGCTTGTTAAGCGGACGACTGGCGAGCGCGTAACTCCGCGCGAAGCGCTAATCGCCGCTTAAATAGGCTACGATATAAATCACGCCGCGCTCACCCGTTATTAACGCGAGCTCGCAACGTTCTCCCGACAACGCGCAATTACGACTTCGCTGTAACGCGCGATGCGTCCGTGCCGCTTCAATCTCGCAAGATTCGTAACTTTAGCTCGACGTGTTTCATCCCTTTAATCAATTTTACACACGCTTGTTCAACAATCGCTGCGTATTGAGTTGATTAAAGTAGAGGAAATTAAATTTTAATTTAACTAAGGCAAATGTAATACCGGTATATTGCTGTCTATTACTTGATCATGGATTCGACGTATCTTGAGTGCTCGTTGAGAGTAGCGGAAGAATGCAATAAGATTTTACATTGGATTTTGCGCAGGGATGGGTGGAATCACTAAAGGACTCTTCGGTTACGACAGACTTACGCACTATACCATGCACGTCTTTGCGGTGATTAATTCCGACGGACCCGCCCCGTCGTATCTCGCTCTCTATTGCTGTACCTATATGCAATAATATTATGTGGACGCCATAAGCGTGTCATTTCCACCGTAGCCCGCGTCGGCTTTGTCGTAAAATATTAACGCGGTAGGCAGACTCCGAAGGACGACACGACACGTTACGAGTGTCCTTACGGGCGGAACTTTCTTCGTCTCTGTGTCTTGTAAGCCTCCTCTGTTCCGTCGAGGAATGACACGATCTATTATGCAAGAGAATTAGAGATATAAACGCGCGATGATGAAATTGAAAACGGCAGTCGAATTTAATAGCTTTGATTTGTATATTTAGCTACAATGGAATTAAAACAAATTAAAAGTTATTAATTAGTCATGTGAGGATTATATTTACACATTAATAATTTTATAGTGCAAATATATATATGCGAGGAGCGTTTAATATATTTTATATATGGAGAAAACAGATAAATTATTTATTTTATTTTTAAATGTAATCTTATTGCATTTATTAATTAACTTTTCTTAACTAAGCTCTCATAAAAGTACAGCTTAATCATTTGCATATAGCTGTCGTAGCATATTAACGATAATACGTTGAACGTCTGTGTTGTATATATGTTATTCTTTCATGTATTATGAATATCCTGAAGTTGCAAATTCAGCGGCATTAACGAGTAATTCTTGCGTGTTCTTTAATCATGATTATAACAGGTATTGAATTGTATGCGAAATGGAGGTAACATCGTTATGTTAACGACGGTAAAATCAGTTCGCGGAGGTTACTGCAAGACCTTATTGTGTTCTTTAAATCGCCGCAGGAGTTCATTGGAATTTATGCAGCATAGTAACTTGAAACTTCTTCTTTACGTTTGTACGTTTGGAATACTCGGGAGATTTATAAGTTTATAAAACAGCTTACCTCTTAGGAACTGCGGAATATCTCGGAAAGCAGAAGGAATATGCTATAAATGGTTAACGCAAGTTTTCTCGTAAAAGGTTGTTCTACTTTCTTTCCTGTTTGATTTTGATATTTCTTTTGTTCCTCATAGTAGCGTGTGCGTAGAAAATTGATGCGTACATAAAACATTGTGCAATACGATAATACGCGATAAAAACAAATTCGTACAAAATCCTTTGTCACTCGGCACATTTAAATTATAGGCGAGGAGTGCTCCATGCGCGCGTGCGGCTACGAGGCATTACGCACGGCACTGACAGAGAGCACTTTGAATTTTATCAATATCCGTGATAGAGAAGCGTTAGAATAATCATGCACAATTCTATTCAATTGCGAGTGGTTTTGTGCGACGGAAGCAATTTTTTTTTTTTTTGACATTTACTTTATTCAATATGTGAATGACAGTAAATTGTTGAAATTTGGAATATTCTTAACAATAGGAGAACGACGAATGTTGCTGTCGACTACGCGTGTAGATTTGAAATTGGTGGCAAGAATCAGTGGAATCGCGCAGCAATCCAGCGGAAGCTAGTCGAATCATGTTGCTGCGTATTGACGCGTCCGAGGCGATTTTCTCCAAGGAGGCTGTCGAAACTCACTTTCATATTTATGAGCCACGTTATGCGAAAATGCAAACGTATGCAGCACCAGTCATTTACGGTGCGCACACAATCATGCGCGGGCGATAGAACTTCATGCATGTGATAGCGATAGAGTGTAATATAACGCCTCTCCCTCTCTCGCTTCTATTTCCATCACTGTATGTATAATAGCATGTCTTTATGACGTAATCCTTTGACCGAGAATATTGTTACGAGAAAATTTGTATCTGCGCTCTCACGGCCATTTTCATGAAAGTCCTGTTCAATCATCTTTGAAGTATTACTCTCTGTATTTTAATATCGCGTATCTCAATTTGCTCGCACAAAGTATTTCGCTGCATATTGCAAATAGTGGCCTTTGAAAAGAAGTGCAAAAATAGCGCTTGTTATTTCTCTGTGTCTATAATACTTGAAAGTACTTCAGACGTGGATGAAATTGATTCGAAATGAAGCGTCAAATTACGTAAAACAATGCCGATTTCATCGAAGATTCCAAACTGCCGTTAAGGCGATATAGCAAAGTGCGCGGAAGACATTGCTATCGATCGATCGCAGTGAAAGATAGCGGAATTTACACTCATTGTTCTCCGTCCGGACAATCCATCGGGCCGTTAAATCCATGGATCAATTTTCGTGCGGACGCCTCATTGTCAGGCGATTAATTCTCATGATCGGAAGTTTCCGCAGTAAATGGCGCTAAGCTTAAGTCCTCTCATCTCTCCTCCCTAC